TTAGAGTTACTTATTTAAGGAGTAGAGGCACCAGGGGACTATACAGGTAAAATATAAACAAATGTTATACTAGGGTCAGAACCACATTCAGAACACGTCAATATTGTGCCCATGCTAATACAGATGGCCAATAATGGCACAATGGCACATGAAAAGAGGCTTCACATCACTAATTATTAGAGAAATGCAAATCAAAATTACAGTGAGGTACCATCTCATACCAGTCAGAACAGCCATCATTAAAAAGTCTACAAATAACAAATGCTGAAGAGGATGCAGAGAAAAGGGAATCTTCCTACACTGTTGGTGGGAATGTAAGTTGGTGCAGTTACTATGGAAAACAGTATGGAGATTCCTTAAAAACTGAAAATAGTGTTACCATGTGACCCAGCAATCCAACTCCTGGAAATTATAGTTTTGTCTGGATATATATATTCCTGGACATATATCCAGACAAAACTGTAATTCAAAAAGATATATGCACACCTATGCTCACAGCAGCGCTATTCACAACAGCCAAGACATGGAAACAATCTAAAAGTCCACTGATAGATGAATATATAAATAAGATGTGGTACATATTTACAATGGCATACCACTCAGCCATAAAAAAGGAAAAAACGCCATTCGCAGCAACGTGGATGCAACTAGAGGCTATCATACTAAGTGAAATTAAGTCAGAAAGAGAAAGACAAATATGGCCTTATATCCCTTGTATGTAGAATCTAAAATATGAAACAAATGAACCTAACTATGAAACAGAAACAGTTTCACAGACATACAGAACAGACTTGGGGATGCCAAGGGGAAGAAGTTTGGGGAAAGGATGCAATGGGAGGCTGGGGTTAGCCGACGGAAGCTATTTTATGTAAAACGGATAAACAATAAGTTCCTACTATATAGCACAGAGAACATAGTCAATATCCTATGATAAACCATAAAGGAAAAGAATATTTTAAAAAAGAATGTGTGTGTGTAGCTGAATCACTATGTTGTATAGCAGAAATTAACACAACATTGCAAATCAACTATAATTCAATAATATATATATGATATATATTGCATGTATATGTATGTGTATATATATATGTGTCTGTGTGTCTGTGTGTGTGTATATATATATATAGTCCATGCTATGTATGAGGTAATAATAATTAGTGGTGGCTTCTTTAATAGGGAAAAATAATTTAATCAGGAAAAAAAAACCCCTTAATTCTGTTGCTCACAAACTCTCAGTACTTAATTTTTTTTTAATTAATTAATTTATTTATTTATTTATTTATCACAACCATAGTGTATCTTTTTTTTTTTTTTTACATGTATTCCCCATCCCGGTCCCCCCTCCCACCTCCCTCTCCACCCAATCCCTCTGGGTCTTCCCAGTGCACCAGGCCCAAGCACTTGTCTCATGCACCCAACCTGGGCTGGTGAACTGTTTCACCCTAGATAATATACGTGTTTCAATGCTGTTCTCTTGAAACATCCCACCCTCGCCTTCTCCCAGAGTCCACAAGTCTGTTCTATACATAGGAGTCTCTTTTTCTGTTTTGCACATAGGGTTATCGTTACCATCTTTCTAAATTCCATATATATGTGTTAGTATACTGTAATGGTCTTTATCTTTCAGGCTTACTTCGCTCTGTATAATGGGCTCCAGTTTCATCCATCTCATTAGAACTGATTCAAATGAATTCTTTTTAATGGCTGAGTAATATTCCATGGTGTATATGTACCACAGCTTCCTCATCCATTCGTCTGCTGATGGGCATCTAGGTTGCTTCCATGTCCTGGCTATTATAAACAGTGCTGCGATGAACATTGGGGTACACGTGTCTCTTTCAGATCTGGTTTCCTCGGTGTGTATGCCCAGAAGTGGGATTGCTGGGTCATATGGCAGTTCTATTTCCAGCTTTTTAAGAAATCTCCACACTGTTTTCCATAGTGGCTGTACTAGTTTGCATTCCCACCAACAGTGTAAGAGGGTTCCCTTTTCTCCACACCCTCTCCAGCATTTATTGCTTGTAGACTTTTGGATAGCAGCCATCCTGACTGGTGTGTAATGGTACCTCATTGTGGTTTTGATTTGCATTTCTCTGGTAATGAGTGATAATTTAATCAGGAAAAAAAAAACCCTTAATTCTGTTGCTCACAAACTCTCAGTACTTAAAAACAAACAAACTCCCTAGCCTGATATTTAGGGCCTTCCTCAATCAGGCTCCAACTCATTATCTTCCTAGTCTGACTTCGTACCCCATAACTCAGCTTATCCATTTTTGAACCTGACAGAACTACACACTGTTTCTGAGATAATTCAAGTGCTTTCTCCCCACAGAAATGTCACATCCAACACTCCATTAGGTTACCCTCATCTCTCAAATCCCTCTTTAAATTCTAAATGGCACCTCTCTGAAGCTTTCCAACTCAGAATCTCTTCTAACCTTGAGTGGCATTTAGTCTGTACTCCTCACATTGCCATGATCACATTCTCATCTGTCTTGTAGTATAATTGTTTGTGTACATGTTATATTTCTTCTCTCAGACTAAATTCCTAAGAAGGTCTTGATATAGTCACATTGGTACTGTCCTCATCAGTCCATGCTTTGCACATATTAATACAAAGAAATTAAAAAAAGTTTAGTTGGGAAGTGTGCTGAATACAAATGTTACCTGATTCAAAAACATGCTATAATAATCAATATTCTTACTGATACTCATTCACTAAGGAAATATTTACTCAGTATCTATTGTATACCGGAGCATCAGTATACCAAAATGAGCCACTGACCCCACTCTCTCAATAACTTTATGGCCTAGAACATCTTCTAGACATCTATATAAATTACTGTAGTGCTAACAGACAAATGCCAGGAGAGGAGCAAAGATGAAGTACAACAGCAACCAACAAGGAAAGAGTATTTCCAAGTAGGGATGGATATGAGGATATGTTTAACATTTGTGCAGGTTCTGAAAAACAGGGAATATCTGAATATACAGAGACAGGGTAGTGTTTTAAGACAAGAGAAATAAATGCCACTGAGGCAGGAAATCTCAGGAGGATCTAAGGAGTAATCAGTAGTTCAACAGTATAGTGTAAGTGAGGGATTATAGGGATATAGGAGAAAAATTTTAAAAGCAGCTGGAGGTGTACCTGACAAGACCTCAGAAGCCAAAAAAGGAACTGGAGCTTTAGTCTCTAAGCAGTGAGGAACTATTTCAAAGTTTCTGAGCAGGGACTGAGTAATTATTCTGAAGGTCTACAGTGGACTGGGAGGGAAAGGGATGGCTGACAAGGAGACAAGAGGCTAGCACCATCCTACAAGAAAAGGACAGTAAAGCCCTGCACTAGGAATGAGGCACCAGGAATAGAAACGGATGAATGGAAGAGAGCTTTCAGTGGTGAAACTGACGGGACTAGACAAGTTCCAGATGTGGAGTACAAGGGTCTGCAAGTGGTGAGATGCCTTTCTAGGCCAGAAGGAGGGCTGTGCCGGCACCAAGATGTCTGAGTGTGCAGCTATTCCCTGCTCCAGGGGATCTCCCCAATCCAGGGATCGGACCCAGATCTCCTGCATTGCAAGCAGATTTTTACCATCTGAGTCACCAGGGAAGTCCCCATCACCAGGATAGACATTAAAGCAGCAGCAAGTTTGGGTGGGAGAAAACTGAGTCCTGGCTATAATCAGATATGCAGGCAGTGACATCACAAATAAAATGTGTCAAACAATCCTATTTACAACAAATACAAATTTTTATGAAAAAAGAGTTGAGATTAATCTTAATTAAAGCTACAGTTCATGGGGTTGAAGAGTTGGACATGACTGAGCGGCTAACACACTTAACGACATATTCTATTTAGAAGAAATATAAAATTTTATGAAAAAAGAGTTGAGATTAATCTTTGGTAAAGGATTCTGATAAATGATTCAAACATGAATATGACCTCAAAAATATAACTCACAAAGGCTATATTAAGTAGCACATTAAAATAAAAAAAACATTTATGAAGGAGGGTTTGACCTAGAACCTCATGTACCCAAGAATTATTTTCATACATGCTGATTCATAGGTAATAGTAAAGCAGATACGTGGAAGGCAGTGAGAACCTCAGTTTAAAATTATGAGGTGAAATCTTTCTGTTGAAATGGTAAATGCAGCTCTGTGCTGTCATTTGGCCCCAATTTAACTTAAATGCCATATCAGGAGATGCTCAAGTCACAAGAATAGGCCTAACTGACAAGGTAGAATTCCTTTCTATATAAATACTTCTCAATTAAAAGAACTGAGTCAACCTAGATTTATCCCTACTATATCCCTAGAATCTTCAAAAGCCTAAGCAAAATAAAACTTCTAATTATAAACTCATGGGTATTACAGCTATTCAGCACCCATATTTCTTAAGAACAAACAAAAGAATTTCATCACCATAAACTAAAATAACAATGAAAAGATGTGTAACATATAATTTGATATTGATAAATTTTTGTCATATGTGTGCTGAGTAAAAAAGTAAAATCAAGTATTTTGAATTGTGGTTAATATGCCTAATAAGTATATTTCCCCTGTTAGGTTTATTCATTTACTTAATTCTATTTACTGGATGCAATGTCATTATTTCAGTTTAGCTTTGAAAACAATGAGAACTTGGTCTTTAATTATTAACATTTTTTCTAAAAGTAAGCAAAATTATGGAAAACGAAATGGATTAAAAGGTATTTGTTTTATGCACAGCCATCCCATTAAGATTATGCAGGTCATTTGTTGAAAACCGCATTGACATTTTACAGTTGTGTGTAAATGCAAGGGAAGAACATACCCTAAAAGTTAACAATGGTAATCTTTTGATCATAGGCTTATGGGTGATTTTTATTTCCTTCTTTTTGTTTACGTGCATCTTTAAATTTTTCTATAATTAATGTTCATCATAACTGTACCAAGAAGAAAAGTTATTTTTATAAGGAGAGAAAAAAACAGATCGATCAATTTAAAAGAAACATACATACCAGATCTCTGTGAAGCACCCAATTTGCATGGAGGTAATGGATCCCATCAAGAATCTGGTAAAGTAATGATTTAACCATAGATCTTGGCAACTGCATGGGCTTTTTATTTGCTTTTGATGCACGGTGAAACTTAATAATATGCTAAAAATTAGAAAATATATATTAGAGTAACATAGTCTTTGCCTGTGTCAACAAAACACAATAAACGCTGCAACAAGTTCTGTACATTTTAAGATTACTTATTAAAGGCCAATAATGGTGCAAAGAAAAATAATTTAAATAATAAGCTCAAACCAAAACAGAATCTATATTGAGGATGAATGTGACATTATTAATGTGGTTGTTATGATGACTTACTGAAACCATTAAGATTTGCATTAAGTACAACCAAGAAATAAAAAGGGTTTATAATTTAAAACCTGCCTTAAAATAGCATTAATTGTATTCTCTACTGACAGAAAGAAAAGGGAAAAAAACTGTAAATTTTCACTGTTCTATAAAATAAAGTTAGTACTTAGTGCATTTGGGTAACATTACTGACTGCATGTGTATCAGAATTATTGGAAAGTTCCACCTTCTTTTGCCACATAATGAAATTAGGATATAGTCTTAGTAGTCAACAGTAAATAGCAAATTACTAGACACAAGCAGGAAGAGAAAAATGGGGAATTCAATCACATTGAAATAAATGTAACTGGATCATCATATCCAAATTTTTATGTACACGTTATATTGTGGAAGGGGAAGAAATTCCACCTGCCCCCTGCACTCCCACATCCACCTCCATACCTCCATTTCCATCCAACATTTGCCCAAAACATGCCAACATGGGTACTAGATATCAGTGACAGAAGAGGTTCTTGTTAACATCTGCTATAAGGAAATTTCTTTCAAGGTCTATTAGTTTGTTAAAGTTACTCTTGAAAAGAGTTATAATTTATATAAATGACAAACCACATTCTACTGAATCAAAATTTAATTATCCAAACTTACTGCCAAGTTTGAATTTGTTTTTTTACTTTTGGCAGCTCCTGGGATAAAATGTTTAAATGACTTGATTCCTAACTTTAAACATGTGAAATTAGAATTTTTGGCTTCTTTTATATAGTTTTTAAAAATCCCTAATATTTGCAGACCTGTCCATATTTGTTTGGTGGAGTGAATTTTAAATGGCAAAATGCTGCGAGAGGAACCTTCACTTAGAGAGGAAAACTATTCACAAGCACATTAACTGTTAAATATGAACTACTGTGTGCAGTGCAAAAGAAAGTAATTTCCCTGGAACATATTAGGAAACTGCCATTAATTACCTAAAACTACAATCTTCCACTCAGGAACATTTTTTGAAGTGAAATTTCTGAATGTGACAGATACTATAAAACAGGATGTAAATGTTTATTGCTCTAATTCTTTTAAATCAAAATTTACCTTTAGTATATTTATTTTGCACTACGGTCAACAGAGCAAGTTTTCCTTTCTGTGCATTAGCAGTATGCAGCACATACATTTATTCTTCATACCTATATAAAATTATTATCCTAAAGATAAAGTGAGCTTAGACGTACCCATAAATCATGTTCTGCATAATCAAACAGCAGCCACACCTTCCTGTCACTGTGAGAAAGGAACACCTTCTGCAGGGCGATCACGTTAGGGTGCTTCAACTCTCGCAAAAGCTGAAGGCAAGAGGAAGAGAAGGGTCACTATTCTGTTAGCAAAGAGGATAATGCACTTCCCGTAACTTCAAAATGAAATTTTTGAAAATTTAGACAATCCAGATAACTAGCATTAAAAAAAAAAAAAAAAAAGCAACACCACCACCCAAATACCACAACTTAGAGATAAGCTCTGTCAACATCTTGGTACATCTCTTTCCAATCCTTTCTCTGTATATGTATGTTTGGAAAATGGAATCCTTTTACATGGCAAGATGTAAAATAGTAAACAAAAGTAATACCATATTGCTAAATAATGAAGTGTATTTTGGCATGTGTGTAATTTTTTTTTTTTTAACTAGAGGAAAGGCTTCTAGGGAAGCAGGAATACTGTTTATATCCACTCCAGCATAGTATGTGCTCAATTTGACAAAAGGTGGAAAGATATTTAACAATCCCTATCTAACTTAAGGCTATGGTTTTTCCAGTGGTCATGTATGGATGTGAGAGTTGGAATGTGAAAAAAGCTGAGTGCCGAAAAATTGATGCTTTTGAACTGTGGTGTTGGAGAAGACTCTTGAGAGTCCCTTGGACTGCAAGGAGATCCAACAGTCCATCCTGAAGGAGCTAAGTCCTGGGTGTTCATTGGAAGGACTGATGCTGAAGCTGAAACTCCAATACTTTGGCCACCTCATGTGAAGAGTTGACTCATTGGAAAAGACCCTGATGAGGGATTGGGGGCAGGAGGAGAAGGGGATGAGAGAGGATGAGATGGCTGGATGGCATCACTGACTCGATGGACATGAGTTTGAGTAAACTCCGGGAGTTGGTGATGGACAGTGAGGCCTGACATGCTGCGATTCATGGGGTCGCAAAGTCGGACATGACTGAGCGACTGAACTGAACTGAACTAACTTACCCATGTCTAGTGCATGAGACAGGTTTTTCAGAAGAGCAGTGAGCATAAGAGAATGACTCTCAAACCCACTGATAAAACTGGTATAGAAAAGAGGTCCTATAAACAGAGAAAAGACTAGGCCTTTCACAAAGCAGAAGCTTCAAGCTGGACTCTGATAAGAAGGAAAGATAGACCATATCAGCAAGTGAAAACTTAGTTCTTGGCCCATAACAGGCAGTTGCTTGATAAAATATTTAGCAACAATAACATTAGCTGTTCAAGGTGGAAGTCTTCTAAATATGCCCGCCTTACACCATCCTTAACCAGGGTTCAGACTTAACAGGTATAAACACACTCAATTTGTTAAATACTTCAAATGCCTTTTAAATGTAAAGCTCCGTGGAAAATACAGAAAGAAAGAGGGGACAAAGCTCCTACTGAATAATTTCTATGTGCAAGGTGATTGTATATATCTGTTTCTTCTCTTACTTAATCCTTCCAACAACCCTATGATACACACAGAAGCTCGGGTTCAGTGTAAAAAAAATAACTTGACCAAAGTCAAACATTAGAAAGAGAAGAGGTTTGAATTTAGATAGTTCTGCCTGATTCCAAAGTCCATGCTTTTTCCAGTTCAGCTAAAGTCCTTGTCATCTGTTCCCACAATGTAGAAGGGAAGACAGACATACAAACAGATCAATGAGGCAGAGAAAAATATTTAATGAGAGAGTTTGACTTTATTAAATGTCTACCCAGAATATGTCCTCTTTCCTGCCTGCAGGGGAAGGAAAGGTAAAACTCACTTCTGTACCTAAACCAAGCTCCCAAAACACCAAACACTGGCACAGACCCCTGAACCCTGGACTCCATTTGTCTGGGAGAGGGCGTGTCACATGTAGCAGTATTTAATCTACACCTCTAAAAAATTATGTTTTTTTGTGACTACAAATTCCTGAGCCCTCTACAATGAATCCACCTTAAGTTCCATGTTTAAACATTATTTCAAATAGGTAATACATCTACACAGTTCAAAAATCAAATGTATGTTAAAGGAAATACATTGAAATGCCTCATTCCCACTCCTTCCCCCAGTGACCACAGGCTGTCCTCCCTGCTAGAAGTAATTTTTTTTAGTTGCTTGATTAGTCTTCCAACTATTTATGCAAAGGAAAGCAGGTATGAATATTTACACAAAAGATAGCACTTATTTTTTACTTTCTTGTAAATCTTTCATTATCAGCACAGTATTAACTTATAGGAACCTTTCTGGTTCTTTCTTACAACTCCAAGGTATTTCCAGGTCACTTTTTTGTGGTAAAATATACATAACATAAAATTTACCATTTTAACTATTTTTAAGTGTGTAGTTCAATAGCATTAAGTACACTGTATTCAAGAACCACCACTCTATCCCTTCTCCAGAACCTTTTCATTACACAATATTGTGTCCTATTACACAATATTTCCCATTCCCATGTCCTCCCATTCTCCTTTCTGTCTCTAGAAATTTGACGATGCCAAGTACTTCATATAAATGTAGCTGTTCAATATTTGTTCTTTTGTGTCTGGCTTCTTTCACTTCACATGTCTTCACGTGAAAAGACAACAGATTCATCCATGTTCTATGGATGTATCCATATAGGAAAGAAGTCCCTTTCTTTTTAAGGGTAAATATTAATAATATTTCATTGTATGCACATACCACATTTACTTATTCATTCATCCCTCCCATCATTCTATGGACATTTGAGTTGATTTCACCTTTGGTTATTATGAATAACACTGCCTTGAAGACTGATGTACAAACATCTATTTGAGTCCTTGCTTTCAATTTTTTTTAGTATACTCAAAAAGTAGAATTGCTGGATCCTATAGTAATTTTTTTTTTTTTTTTGAGAAATTGCCATTCAGGTTATCTTTTCTACGAAATACAGGAGGGAAGAGGGTAAAGTTTGCAACACCATGCATTTACTAGAAAATTTCCCCTAGTCCCCAAAATTGCACTGTATAGGAACATACACTTGCAATTTCTGCACACCTATTATACTTTTTCTACCTTTCTGGTCTTTTTTTTTTTTTGGCAGGGGGCATGTGACATGGTATTTGGGATCTTAGTTCCCTGACCGGGGATTGAACCCATAACTCCTGCAATGAAAGCGTGCAGTCCTAACCACTGTACCACCAGAGAATTCCAACCCTACAGGTTTTTATAAATGACTAAATATCAATGTGAAGGCAAGCTGAGACTAAGAAATAGCAAACTATGTTTGTTTTATTCCCTCCTAATTCATTTTTCACTCTACAATCAGAATGGTGTTTCAAAATACAGACTACAAGCATAAAAAAAAGAAGGAAATTTTGCCATTTGCAGCAACATGGATGGACTTGGAGGGCATTATGCTAAGTGAAATAAGTCAGAGAAAGACAAATACTGTATGCATCACTTATATGTAGAATCTAAAAAATACAACAAACTAGTGAGCATAACAAAAAGAAGCAGGCTCACAGATAAAGACAACAAACTAGTGGTAACCAATGGAAGGGCGGTCAGTATAGGGATACGGGATTAAGAGGCACAAATTATTAGGTGCAAAATAAGCTACAAGGATGTATTGTACAACACAGGGCATGCAGCCAAAATTTTATAATGACTATAAATGGAGTATAACCTTTTAAAATTGTGAATCACTATACTGTACACTGGTAACCTACATACTATTGTACATCAGCTATACAGCAATAAAAAAAAATACAAAACTGATGATCTCTGTCACTAGGGACAGAACTGAGGAATTAAAGCAAGTAATAAGGCAAAGGCCAAATAATGAGGAGGTTTGTAGGCCATGCAGAAGTGTCACCAGTGAGGTTCTCCAGTATCACTAGAAACATGCTGGGTGCAGCGGGTTAGTGGAGAAGCCAGCTGATATAAAAGGTACCACGCTGTAACTTTCTTCTGTGCGTGTCTGATGGCTGGGCCACTGAACAAGTGACTTTGAGGGTGATGGAGTTTAGGATGACTCAGATATGACTTTACCTAATCATGTGTACTTGATGTATAGTTGTACTGATATACTTTTATACTGTTTTACCTTTACATCTGCCTCCCCTAGTAGACCATAAGCTCCTTGAGGGAAAAGACAGTTTTAAATTTATCTCTACAGGAACTAGCCCAAGGTATGACATGTAGAAGGAGCTTTTCTAAGTGATCTCATCCAGTTTGGAGGTTTTAAATGTCACCTAAACACATTAACTCCCAAACATTTATTTCTAGTCAACGCATACTCCCTGAAGTCCAGCTGTGTGTATATATCTCAAATGCCTCAACATCTCTACTTGAACTTCTGAAAGTCACACTGAGGTTGTCATCTCCACCTCCCATGCCCTCTACCCCAGCTGCTCTTCCCCAGCCTCAGTTAACAGCAACGCCATCATTCCAGTTACTCAGGCAAAAGTTCTCAGTCCTCAGGATTCTCCCCAGGTCTTTTCTGGTCCTTCTATTTAGGACCACCCCTCTGCTTCTTTATTTTTCTGCAAAGTATTATCACTGTTGAACATAGTATATAGCTCTATATCCCTTAGGTATAATTCTAGAGAGCTTAGAAAACCAAAAGTTTTCTAGTAACTCGGGTAGGAAAAAAATTTTTACACTTCAATGGAAAAAATGCATTGTCAGAGGCACATTCTTTCAGGTTACCTGATTCTGATGCTATGGAAGCTATTGTACAACTCTGTACATTATAGATAACTGATGATAATGCAGAATAATTCTTGCTTATCTACATTCACTCTCCCATTGTGGAAGATGCTAAAGTTACCTTAACTTGGACATCGTTTTAATATTCCTGATCTACAAATGCGTCTGTCCTATAGACTCTTCCTTGCATGCTCAGTCACTTCAGTTATGTCTGAGGCTTTGTGACTCTATGGACTATAACCCGCCAGGCTCCTCTGTCCAGGGGATTCTCCAGGCAAGAATACTGGAGTGGGTTGCCATTTCCTCCTCCAGGGGATCTTCCCAACCCAGGGATTGAACCCACATCTCTTATGTCTCCTGCATTGGCAGGCAGGTTCTTTACCACTAGCACTACCTGCGAAGCCCATAGATTCTTCTTTGAACGGGTTA